CAGGGAAACAGGTGGCAAAAGGCAAATGATAAGCGAAACAATCTCGGAGAAAAATGGCACCATAATTAGCTCCCAGGATAGACGTCTGGAGCGCTGGAAAGAACACTATGAGGAGCAGTTTAATTGGCCCACAGCCACACTTAGCCTGCCGAACATCCAACACCTCCCTGAATGGGAGATAGACACAGGTCCTCTGTCCTTAACTGAGGTTACTAAAGCTGTCACTAATCTGAAGCAAGGCAAAGCAGTGGGACCTGATGGATTGGCTCCAGAGGTATTTAAGTACGGTGGAGACAGTTTACTGTCTGCAATAAATGAGGTTCTAGGCAGCGTCTGGGAATCAGAGGAAGTCCCATCGGGTTGGTGTAAGTCACTGATCATCCCGATATACAAGAAGGGAGACAAATCTTCTTGTGATAATCACAGAGGGATTAGCTTGACTAATATAGTATCTAAAATCCTAGGCTCAATAATACTGCGTAGACTAAGTGGTGCTCGGGAGGCAGAAACACGATAAAACCAGGCAGGTTTTAGGCCACGAAGAGGGTGTATAGATCATATCTTCACCCTTCGACAGATTCTAGAACATAGGCATTCCTACCGGCGTCCGACAATCACTATATTTCTTGACCTAAAGGCGGCTTTGTGTGCTACATGGAGTGTGGCGGCTTGAACTGCCGCACATATGTGCAAAGTTCTATGTCGAAAACCGACCGACCGAGTGTCAAAAGGATTATGAATTATTGGAGGCCTATTAAAGCTGGTAGGCAATTCGTTGAATACTACTGTGAAGGAACGTATGCCTCCATACTTCCTAGTAGTTAAATTGCATCTTTGTCATTAATGGTTAATTGAATGCTTGCCACCTGCACTCTCCGGGAGGTTCAATTTCGGTTTCCGGTGGACACACTTCGAAACGGCCTAGTTTACTGTGAGGTGGTAGTATTGAGGGAAGATTGAGCGTGACGTTTGAAGTCTAATGTTCCATTCAGGCAGGAAACAAAGGAACGAAGAGAAAAAATATCCTGATAAAGTTTCTGATCGATCACACTGTTCACCACTGATAACTTTCAAAGGCGTTATTACTGTTTGTTTGAGCTTGACTTTACAACAAACTGATGGAGGTGGAGCAGGGTCCATTAGCTAGTTAGCTGTATGTCAAAAGCCTAGTCTAATCAGCAGTTACACATTGTAGTGGTGTGATACAGACAACGGAATATTATTCTCACAGTTCAATACAGCCTTAGCAACAGAATTATTATTATTGTTACCTTGGGTTCCTAGTGGAACATAGAGCTTCAACTACACGTCTCCACTTGCTTCTGCCTTCTGCTGTATTTTTCACCTGCATACATGTTAGTCCATACTGTTTCAACTACTCTTCACACGATCTCCTCCATGTCCCACTCGCCGCTTCCCTTTCGGGTTCCACTCGAGCACTGGCCTGACGCGCGATGTCACCCAGTGGCCTCCTCAGTGAGTGTCCAATCCATCTCCACTTTCTCCTGTATATTTTTGTTGAGCGATTGGTTCTTGTTTTGTTCCTTCCCATAGTTTCTTGTTGGTTCTTGTTCTTTCCAGCCATCGGATCTTCAGTATAGAGCGAAGACAGTAGTTGATAAAGGTCTGCAACCTTTTGAAAATATTCTTGGTGACCCGCCAAGTTTCTGTTCTATATAGAAGAACTGACTTGACGTTTGTATTGAAAATTCGAATCATTTTGTTGTTGATGCTGAGTGACGAAGATTTCCAGATTGGTTTCAGGTGGATGAATGTGTTTCTCGCCTTCCTGATTCTCGATTTGACATCATCGTCCGTTCCGAGTGCCTGTAGTTGACAAAATGCTCCCTAGATGATAAGTGAATGAAGTAACCTCTTTCAAATCCTTCCCGTTGATGGTGATTGGCGCTGGATGCTGCTGTTGTTGTTGTTGGTCGGTTGGTTATTTTCATAACCTCCGTCTTGTCTATGTTCACCTGGAGTCCTGTCTTTGCTGCTTCTTCGACCAGTTTGTCGGTTTTCGCTTGTAAGTCTTCGATTTTGTGTGACATCAAACATAAATCATCCACGCGCGAAATCCAGGTCTTCTAGGTTCTTCACGTCAGAATACTATATATGTATATTTGAACATTGTATTTCATGTCATTTAATGTAAACCAAAATCACACGCTCAATGATTGGTTAAAAATATAAACTGTATAGATATAAATAGCTGTTTGATCGCTAGAAAATATACCTTGGCTTCCGTATCCTGCCTTCTGCAGTTACATTCGGTGTCGCTCCAACAAATGAAAAGCCTATGCCCTGCAGTTTTTGCAGAAGGAGACATATAGATCTTCTGACAGGACTTCGATTCCGTTGTGGAGTTGAATGGCTTTCAAGAACCGTCAGCGATGAGGCTGTTACTTGGAATGCTACTGGGAGGTTGGGCGACAGCAGCATATGATAGTGTGAGGCGAATATGTGCGACAGGGTCATGCAAACTGCTTCCTAAGTGGGAAGGACCATACACGATCACCGTGAGACAGGGTCACGTATATGCCATCATAAATGCAAACAAAGAGAAGCGGGTGAATGTCAGCTAGCTCGGAAACTCGATATAGTAAGACAAGCAAACAAAGCCTACAGCAACAAGAAGATCGAATCAACTTCAGTCGAAAGTTTTTGACGGGGAGACGAGGGTAGTAATGTGATACAGACAATGCGTTCCAACGGAATATAATTCTCACATATCCCTGCAGTTCAATACAGCATTAGCAACAGAATACTATGCATATTTGAACATTCTATTTCATGTCGTTTAATGTAAACCGAAATCACACACTCAAAGATTGGTTAGAGAATATAAAACTGTATCTATATAAATAAAAAAATAAACGGCTTCACTTATTTGGGAAGTTGCATCAGCCAACGCCAACTGGCTGGTCGCTGACGAAATCTCAGTACGAATACAGAAGGCTAGTTTCGCATATGCCAGTTTACACCGTCTCCGTCGTAGACGTGATATCTGGCTGGCTATTGACCAAAGGCGTGTGCACTGCTCATCAGTCCGCTCCGTCCTTATTTATGGCTGAGACATGGCCATTGAGAGTGGAAGACATGAAGAGATTAGCTGTTTTTGATCATAGGTGTCTGCGTTCTACGTCCCGTGTGAAGTGGTATAACAGAGTGATCAATATTAAGGTGAGCCTTCCGTCGAGTGTTAGATGAGGAGGGGAAATCAACAGACGAGGCTGTGAAGCTATATCGACTGAGATGAATAGGACATGTGTTACGTATGTCTAGCCATCGCCTTCCTCGACATCAGGTAATGTTAGCTGACATAGAATAGACCAGGTTGAAAAGGAGCTAGCACGTGGTGTCAAACCAAAACATGGTCTCATCAGTCAATGAAATCCACAACAGTTAGTTTAAGCCAGCCAGTCACGTAGGAAGGTGTAGACTGGCTTCCTGGTTGGGGTAGTCGGGACGGTAAAAACCAATTGCGGCTGGAGACAATCGGTGATATGGCTCAATGACAGTGCAGATGCATCCACTCCTTGTGACTTATGATTTCCAATGAAACTACATTGTTCTTCGTTATTACTATTCCTTTTGTCTCATATCCCTGTCTACTGTCTCTATTTTGCATTTCTTCTCTTGCTTTGTGTGCTACATGGAGGGAGTGTGGCGACTTGAACTGCTGCACATCGGTGCAAAGTTCTATGTTGAAAACAGACAGACAGACAGAAATATACAGTAATATTTACTGATGACGTTTCGAGCAGAATTTATTGCTCATAATCATATCAACTTGATATGATTATGAGCAATAAATTCTGCTCGAAACGTCATCAGTAAATATTACTGTATAACACTGTGAGACTCTATCAAAATAAAATTTACCCATAATGGAATTACACTCTACCACAGTGCCCAAGTTTTATTCTTATATCAATGAGACAGAAATAACAGTTTGGTAACTTGAAAATATACCTTGACTTCCGTGCCTCACCTTCTGTTGTTAGAACATTCCCATTATTTCTCTCTCTCTCCTTTAACACTCTTCTTCAATTACAGTTTCATAGTATTTCTTTTTTATTTACTGTTTTGTATGTGGACTTTCTGAAAGTATGTCAGGCTAAATCCATACTCCTTTTTGTGCGAATTTCGGCGTTATTGTCTATCACAATGGAATAATGCCATTAAAATTCAATGGATGATATGGAGTTATGCTTTACTGGTTTCACCGCTCGACCTGCAATCCATCTTGACACAGAACACGGGTGTGACTCATCGCCAACTGTTTATGGGAATTGTTCAAATGATTGTTTTTGAGTAACATTATGGTGAGGGCTGACTGCTAGCCAAAATTGGTAGATAGTAATTTATGTCAATGTTTCCGTCCCCAATATTGGTCATGAGAAAAATAAGAACAAAGACTGATTCAACAACCAATCACAGAAGACTTTGCGTGGGCGGATACAGTTAGTTAGCATATAGATGATCTGACCTTCAAAGAAACGGCCACAAACAGATGAAGGATTAACCTTCAGCGAGAAACCACCAATCAGAGGACTGTGTTTGTTTGCTTACAATAATCTATAACAATGTACATGAAAATCTACAATTATGTGTTGATTTCCTAAATAAACGACCTGTTGCCTGGCCCCTGTCTTCTGTTGTTACAACATAACTATAATATTATTATAAATATATCAAAATATATTTTTTGTACTATCACAAGAAAAAAACAACTTCCCAAAAAGAAATATCCACTAATAAAATAAATAAACTAGGCAGATTAACATACAAATACACAGTGAGGGAGAAATAAAAATAACGCAAAGATATTAGAGAACAAGTCAAAATTTCTTTCAACATTTACTCTTGTTTCTTTTTGTTCTTGTTCTTCGACTTTGCCGTCTTCTTCGACTTCTGCTGCTTCTGCTCCTGCTGATCTTGCTGTTTAACCTTTTCTGTACTTATGATATCGAATGGTTTCATTACCTCCAGTTTACCTTCTTTAGTTGTGGTGGTGGTGGCGGTTGCTGTTGACGTCGTAGTTGGCCACATGAAAATAAAAAATGCGCAGAACAATCCGAACGCTGTATACACCGAAGTCAACATCAATGGTAAATAGGGTAGACGCTGGCCAAGAGAGGTGATAGGTAAAAGGATTTTTGTCAACAGAAAGAGGAGCACAAGTCCCCATAAATGTAAACAGCCAAGAAATTGAATCATTTGTGACAATTTTGATTGTTTTACCGGTTTTATTGATTTATTTTTATCTTTTTCATTGGTACTGGTAGTGGTGGTATTATGGTTCGCCGGTAGAACACGAAATAGGATAAGCCAGTGAATACATGTATGCGCAAGGTAGGTGGATACGACAGCAGGTAATTCTGTAAAGAGAAACAAGATAGTGCTAAGTTAAACAGTATTTATCAATTACGAGAGTTTAAATCTATGCAAAGAGTGAAAGCAGAAATTTGTATACCTTGAGCCAGGTGACAGTTTTATGTACAGCCTGTCAGCAACAACTCAATTCAACAACTGTTTCCATACAGTCGGCAATGAGCTAAAGAACCAACCAACAATCTGTATCCCGCGATAAATATGCCGAGGAAAATGGGGATGGATCGCACGCACTTTGAGTGACACAGTGCATCAGACGAACTCTGGAGTGGAACAGTGACGTGAAGTAGCCAGTCGGGTGTGTGGAGGAGAAGCGAGCCTATTGGTAATCATAGAGCTAGCTAAAGAGAACTGCAGCAAAATAGAATGAAGTGGAGATGTGCTGCCGAAGTCCGCTATGCCATTCGGGACCCTGGAAAATAATAATAAGTAATATATGGCTAGTGATATTATCTGACTGCCGAAATCTCGAGTGGAGGAGCAAAGTTTGAATGCTTGACCCACTGGTAGATAGAGAACCAAGACTTATGAGCAAAAGATTTTCAAATAACCAATACTTGAAAATTATTTTGATTCTCACTAGCGACTGGCCCTATTAAGGCAGTTAACCTGGGGTTCTAGTGGGAAGTTATGACCAGTAGCGTACAGTAGGTTGAAGGTGAGGCAGTAACTCATCGAAGAAGACATTGTGAAGTGGTCGCGACATGTCATGAATTGACAGAAGTTAGAATTCATGGGGTGGCCGTTGGATTGGGTCCCAGGGGCTTAATGGTCTAAGACCTCAGGGTCCTGGGTTCTAACCCTGGCGGTGGGTGCGTACTGGGGAAGAGTCCCAAACTAGGCTGACGAAACAGCTGGCTGTCCAGTACTCCCAGGTGGGATTTCCAATGGTTCTTTAACTGATGTCAGCTCGTGATGAAATCGTCCAACCAATCACAAGCAGACACAAATGACTAGCAATCATTTACCAACACTTGTACACCCAACTTCATTGATTTAAACACTTTGGTTTGAAACGTTTTCATCGGTAGTATTCCTGAAATAAAAATGTGTCAAGACAGCAAGATTATTTCAGTGTTTAACTAGAATACAAACCATGTGATTCGACAGTCACATCAGTTCTCTTCCTTCATGAATAATCTCCACATAGGCATTAGTGAAAAGATGAAACAGCGTTTTCGGTGAATTCAATTTCTTCGGCTGTACAACGACAAGTGTATACAATCTCTTTTCCAGAAAAGAGGATATTAACAAAAGTGACGATTTTCCATAACCATAGTTGTTCATACTAATCAGTATACACGAAGAGTTGAAATAAGTATTAGAGTTACGTAATAAGATAAGTAATTCAACCAAGTCAATTAGCCTCTAAACCTACAATCCATACCGCCCCTAAGAAAAATGTTTTCATCAAATTACCATATAACGGGGAAATAAACAGTAGGATTTTGAGACAAAGGTTGAATTCGATCATCCGTAGAACCTATTATGCAGCCCAGCTTGTAATTGTCGAAAAAGCTAAAAATATGCTCCACTGCAAACCTCAAAAGTGCACAAGTGATTATGTCACATCCCACACTATTTACCAATTTTCGTATGTGTGGACACACATACATAGGGAAAAGTAATCGCGCTTTGCATATAAGGGTGGCAGAGCATATCCCAAAATGGCTAGAAAAACAAATGAACTGTGAAAAACCAATAGATACAGGTGTCAGACTACCAACTTCGTCTATAGCTAAACACCTAATCGAGATGAACCATAAGATTGATGTTAACTCAGCCTTTAAGGTCATCTATAAAAACAGCCAAGGGCGCTTATTGAAATACGCTGAGGTTATAGGTATTCATAAACTTAAGCCCTCCACCCCCAACTTAACCTACCTTGGTAATCCTTATTTGAGTGGATTACCAAACGTTAGGTTAATCTTTCTTCAATCTTAATTTCTTAATTTAATTGCCCTTAATTTTTTCATATATATCGACTTGACAAGTAAATGTGTGAGGGATCAGATTGTTCGAAATGTATGGCGCAAATGTATGACATTTTCAGATAATCTCCGTCTTTTAATAACACTATCCAAATTTATAAAAGGGACTAATTGTTTTAACCAATGGAGACAAAACAAAACGGTTCATTTTTCAAGGTTTTTAAACAAGAAAAATAAGAACTACTCACCAGCATTTGTAGGAATCAATGGTATAAGACTATAATAGCCAAGAGTGCTTACATAGAATGTAAGAAATCGATGCTCTCCAGTTGTTAATGTGAACAAACTGCAATAAATGCAAATATTTAAAAAAAAGGCATTATTGTGATGCAGTTACGGTTTTTATTACACATGTTGATAGTGTGTGTACGCAGCCTACGATGAGAACTGACACATGTAATACTGAAGAGACATTCATCACTCACTATACAACACTATCAGGTCAGCTGTAGGACCACCACCTCCTAGTTTAGAGATGGATAGTGAAATGGTTGTGCGTTTTGATAACCACTTCAGTTATTTCAGAAGATCTCAGTACGGATAGAAAAGGCTCGTGTAACATTTGCCAACTTATGTCATCTCTGGCGTAGACATGATTATCCGGTCGGACCAGATGGAATACCCCCGGGAGCACTAAAAGCGGACCCAGAGACGACAGCAGATATGCTGACTCCATTATTGCAAAAGGTCTGGAAGGAGGCAAAGGTGCCTACTGACTGGAGGAAAGGTTACCTGGTGAAACTACCAAAGAAGAGCGACTTAGGACTCTGCAAGAACTGGCGAGGAATCATGCTCCTGTCGACGCCAAGTAAAATTCTGAGTCGCATCATCCTGGAGAGGATAGAGGACGCACTGGATACAGTATTCCGACCAGAACAAGCTGGATTCAGGAAAGGCAAATCATGTTCTGACCAAATTGCAACTCTACGCATTATCATCGAACAAAGCATGGAATGGCAATCAAACCTCTACCTCAACTTTATAGACTTCTGGCGTTCATATTGTCGGTAGCATTATTATTATTATTCTTGAACTGAGTTATATCTTCTGCGACTTAATCAGAAAATACTGCTTGATACTGATATCTGTGTGCGATCGATCAGAGAAGGCGGCAAATTCAAAAAAGTTAAACGTATATCCTTGAATTTTCAGAAATCAGGCTGGTGTATTTTGAACTATTCTTTGAAACGCCCTAATAAATACGCATATAATCGCATAATGACTGTTAGGTCAAATAGGTTATTGGAACATACAAATTTAGCTAGATCTATCCTATAAAATTCATTAGGAAGATCGAAAAAGGCCAAAAGCAAAATAAAAATAATAGTGAAACTAGTAATGATAACATAAATAAGAGTGAATATAAGTCATCTACTGTTATAACATATAAGGAGGGGACATCGGAAACCCTGTCTACGTAGGATTCTTAATAAAGCAGGAATTAGGGTGGCATTCAAACCTACAAACTCACTCAGAGACAAGCTCTGTAAGCTAAAAGACCCGGTGGACCCAATTAAACAAAATTCTATAATTTACAAAATACTTTGCAATGACTGTGAGGTCAAATACATAGGTCAAACTAGTAGATCGGGTGTAGTAAGATAATCAGGACATAAGAATTTAGCTACGGTAAGAATGGTCGACCCTGCGAAGATAAGTAATTTAGAAAAAACGACTCAGCACTACATTGCACTGCATGCATTAATACACAATTGGGTGGGAGAAGGTTAAGATTCTAAGAAGTAATCTATGTGGGTAGGCATGGCGTGGGACGGATGGCTGGTTTTCTACGGCCAGCCCCTGTCACTTGGAGGCATATGATGGCTTCCAATCCTCATCAATGGAATTATTTGGTAAGTTTATTTTATTTTTATATTATTTTATTAGTAGTTTTCATGTTTAGGCTAGGTTTTAGCTTCATGTTTACTATGTTGGGGCATTTAGGGACCATACGGTCATAGTTTGTTTAGGGATGCTCTGGCATAGGAAAGCTATATATCAATCGATAGCTCTCGACGAGATCTATCCTTTGACATTGGTTTCGACCCTTGTAGCCTCTCCTCAGCCTTCCTCAGGATCTTTGATATCTGGGCTTGCGCCCTCAGGGGTTATGCTGCCAAAATTTTTCCAGGGAGGCTAGGACTTAGGGAAGCTATATATCAATGGATAGCTCTCGACGAAATCTACCCATTGGTACCGGTATCACACCTTATAGCTTCTCCTCAGCCGAATAGGGAATTTCTTCAAAGGCTACAGGGGAAACCTGTTTCTAGGCCTAGAGTTCATGCCGCTGGCTGTTCTCTTGACATTTTTAGCTCCGCGACCTCAGGTTGTATGCCGTTGTGTATGTAGCTAGGGGGCATTACCAACCATAGGGCAGCAGGGGGGCAGAGACTGCTAGGCAGGAAAATCCTCGTATTTTTCTTAGGAATAGCTTTTACCCTCTGATTTATATACCATTGGATTCCTCTCGACGAGACGAACCGATTGGTACCTGTCTCGTCCCTATAGGACTTACGGTTGCGGAGCTATGGCTTCTTTAATTTCAGGATTTATCCTCCTATTTTAGCGTTTCTTAGGGTGAACATGCTCTTTCATTTCATCCACGATGTTATCGGCAGTGGGGAGCTGATAAGGAAACCGAGGCTGACCGGCAGCTTAACCGGACTTCTACTGATATGACTGTGGCGACGGTATCAGTAGGAGATAACTTGGGTCGTCACACCGTTCCTAGCGTAGCTCCGTTGATAGTAGCAACGGGCATCAACCAAATTTGTCAAACCTCACAACCTACTGATACATTGGCGACGGTATCAGTGGGGGCTGGACTTAGTCGTCATCAATCCAACCCGATGAACCAAACGAATTCAAAAAATATCATGCCGGATCGGCCGTGGCCCGGATTAACAACGACCGCGCTCTCTGCTGCCGTGTCACAGGGCAGAAGTGATAAGTACACTACTGAGACACACCAGGCCGTGTGTGACCGGCCTCAAGCAGATGTCCCCTGGGCTCTGCGGTCACGCAACACTAACCTTTCTTCTATTTCAGGTACCCAAAGACTAAACTCAGGCGTGAGGCCAGCAACCCCACCCTGTAAACAAACCTGCTACAGAAACTTCAGCGTGAACAATCTCCTTGCGTCAAAAGAAAAAGTCTGTGTGGGGACATGGAATGTCCGCACCATGTACGAGACTAGCAAAGCTGCCCAGATCGCAAGCGAAATGAGAAGATACGGACTACAAGTATTGGGGATCTGCGAAAGCAGATGGAACGGAAACGGACTCACCAAATTGTCAACAGGTGAGTCAGTGATTTACTCCGGTCACCCAGAAGACAACCACACACACACCGAGGGCGTGGCTATAATGATGTCACCAACGGCAACCAAGGCTCTGATACAGTGGGAGGCGATCTCACCCAGAATAATGAGCGCCAGATTCAACTCCAAAGGTAGAAAAGTGTCAATTATACAATGCTATGCACCCACAAACAACGCAGACCTCGAAAAGGAAGAAGAATTCTACAGACAACTACAGGCAGCAATAGACAATACTCCAGCTGGTGACATTAAAATACTAATGGGAGACATGAACGCCAAACTTGGACCAGACAACACAGGAAGGGAACTCATCATGGGTAAAGAAGCTCTGGGAGAGATGAATGAAAATGGAGAACTCTTCGCCGACTTCTGCGCCTTCAATGAACTAGTGATTGGTGGCAGCGTATACAAACACAAGGATATTCACAAGGCTACATGGGTGTCACCAGATGGGCGAACCAAAAACCAAATCGACTTCATCTCAATCTCAAGGAAGTGGAGGCGCAGCCTACTGGACACAAAAGTAAGAAGAGGAGCAGACATTGGCTCAGACCACTATCTCGTACAAGGGATAATCCAAATCAAATTAAAAGCTTTCAGAGAATCAGGAGCTGCAGATAGACCACAAGCCAAGTTCAACACTCAAAAACTGAAGGACCAGGACACAAAGGACGTCTTCACTGCAAGTATAAAAGACAAAGCCGAGACACAAATCAGCACTGGCGAAGAGGTCAGCGTCGAAAAGCACTGGAACAACTTGAAGACAGTGTGGAGTCAAACCTGCATGGAAGTTCTAGGCAGAAAGAAGAGACAGGACAAACAATGGCTCACTACGGACACTTGGAAACTAATAGAAGAGAGAAGGATGGTGAAACAAAAGATTCTCCAGTGCACCGATGAGCAACGAAAACAGGATTTGAATGCAAGCTAAAAGAGTAAAGAAGAGTATCAGTGAAAACAAAAGAAAGTACTATGAAACCATGGCAAGTGAGGCAGAACAAGCAGCAGGCAAAGGAGACCTCGCAACACTCTACCAAACAACTAGGTACCTATCGGGCAAACGTTTGACACAAATCAAGCCGGTGAAGGATGACAATGGAAAGTCACTCACCAAAGAAGTGGAGCAAAGGAAACACTGTCTGAACACTTCAAAAGACTACTAAACCGACCGCCACCTACAACGCGCCCAACAATACCAACAACGGAAGCAGAATTACCAGTGAACATCAACCCCCCGACGAAAACAGAAGTCCTGAAGGCAATCAAGATGCTGAAAGCTGGAAAAGCAGCAGGACCAGATGGAATCCCAGCAGAAGCATTGAAAGTGGACCCAGAGACAACAGCAGACTTGATGACGCCACTACTGGAGAAGGTGTGGAAAGAAGGCAAAGTACCCGAGGATTGGAAGAAAGGATACTTATTCAAACTACCGAAGAAAGGAGACCTAAGTCAATGCAAGAACTGGCGCGGAATTATGCTCCTGTCCATCCCAAGCAAAATACTAAGCCGCATCATCCTTGAGAGAATCAAACATACCCTGGATGAAAAACTTCGACCAGAACAAGCTGGATTCAGGAGAAACAAGTCATGTATTGATCAAATCGCCACACTACGGATCATCATTGAACAAAGTCTGGAATGGCAGTCACCTCTCTATCTCAACTTCATCGACTTTGAAAAGGCCTTCGACAGCGTCGATCGAGAGGTGATTTGGCAACTACTTCGCTACTACGGGGTGCCACCGACAATTATACATCTCATCCAACAGTTGTATGACAACGCTGCATGCCAAGTAATCCACAACGGGAAGCTCACGGAATCCTTCGAAGTGAAGACAGGAGTAAGACAGGGTTGCCTACTATCGCCAATGATTTTCCTGATTGCAGTAGATTGGATAATGCGACAAACAGCGGGCAATGAGGAAACAGGCATAAAATGGACTCACACAAAGAACTTGGAGGATCTGGACTTCGCCGATGATATATGCCTGATTTCCCACAAACTGGAAGATATGCAAGTGAAAAGTAACAAGTTGGCAGAAGAAGCATCAAAGATAGGACTCCAGGTGAACATAGAGAAAACGGAGGTGATGAAGATCCCTGGCCAACACCAACAACAACAGACAGCAATCAGCATAAATGGAAAGAACCTGAAAGAAACTACCTCCTTTACCTACTTGGGAAGCATTGTTTCAACTACAGGCGGAACTGACGAGGATATCAAAGCAAGGATCGGGAAAGCAAGGCAAGCTTTCATTACTCTCAAGTCTGTGTGGAGGTCAACATCATTCAGCGTCAAAAATAAAATCGGGATTTTCAACTCCAATGTGAAGTCAGTACTACTATACGGATCAGAGACTTGGCGTGTCACAAAAAGCACCTCAAACAAGCTACAGACCTTCATTAACAGATGTCTTCGCTCAATACTCAAGATCAGATGGCCGGAAAGGATCAGCAACAAAGATCTCTGGGAGCGAACCAACCAGGAACCGATTGTGAAACAAATAGGCAGGAAGAAATGGAGATGGATTGGCCACACTCTGAGGAAACCAGCAAGTGACATCACTAGACAAGCCCTCGAGTGGAACCCGAAAGGGAAGCGGCGAGTTGGTCTCAGTGCAAGGGTGACTTGGAGGAGATCATGTGAAGAGGAGATGAAAGCATGTGGGCAGACCTGGAGCCAGGTGAAAACTCTAGCAGAGAACCGAACGCAATGGAGACGCATGGCTGAAGCCCTATGTTCCTCTAGGAACTAAAGGAAATAATAATAATAATCTATGTGGGTGGAGAGAGAAATTGATTACTGAATCCTGGTTCAGTGAGTCTACATCCAACACAACACATACAACAGAAATGACTCAATGCAAATATCAGAAATATGGAAGATATTATTACCACCAGTCAAGTCAGAAGAGGATAATGAATAATCTTAAAACTCTATTTCAATTCAAGTACATCAAAGCATTCCAACAAGTTACTAATTATGACTATAAAAGCACTCGTCTTATTTCCCATCTGATTGTATTTCATTGATAACACCCATATTATATTATTATCCTATATTGATTTTTATTCAAATATCTAGTCAATTCCACACATATATAAATGAAGGAAAATCTTGTGTGAGTAACTTGATATGATTACGAGTGGCAATAGTTTGTGCTCGAAACGTGATCATCAGTTAATATTACTGTACTGTATAATATTACTGTGTGATTTATCAAAATAAAATCTTATCTGTAATGGAGTTATACTCTACCACAATGCCCAAGTTTTATTTCGTCACTCAACATCAACAACAAAATTCGGATTTTCACTACAAACGTCAAGTCAGTTCTTCTATTCGCATCAGAAACTTGGCGGGTCACCAAGAATATTTCCAACAGCCTGTTGCAGACCTTTATCAACTACTGTCTTCGCTCTATACTGAAGATCCGATGGCTGGAAAGAACAAGAACCAACAAGAAACTATGGGAAGGAACAAAACAAGAACCAATCGCTCAACAAAAATATACAGGAGAAAGTGGAGATGGATTGGACACTCGCTGAGGAGGCCGTGGAGTGACATCACGCGTCAGGCCTTCGAGTGGAACGCGAAAGGGAAGTGGCGAGTGGGACGTCCAAGAGTGACATGGAGGAGATCGTGTGAAGAGGAGTTGAAACAGTATGGACTAACATGGATGCAGGTGAAAAGTACAACAGAAGATAGAAGCAAGTGGAGACGTGTAGTTGAAGCCCTATGTTCCACTTGGAACCCAAGGGAACAATGATAATAATAATAATAACAGTGCCCAAGTTTTATACTTATATGTAGAATAATTGACCCTACTCAGTTAAATAATCTAGAGAAAAGTTCGACCATTGCTATGTATTCTCTTGCGTATAATTACACAAGAGGGTGGGATAGGGTATAAGTATTAAATAGGAATATAGTTTGGTAGGGGGAGAGAGAGAGGGACAGACAGAGATTAATTAAAGAATCTCAACACCAACAAACACTTACAAACAAAGTGGTGCTGCAACACCTATATCCTGAGTGTATGGAAAGTCGCAATGGAAAACAGGAAGCAAGCAGTAGGACTATATAAAGCAAGTTACAATGTCGTGTGAATATCTATTGATATGATTATGAGCGGTGTAATACACTGTGCTCAAAACGTCACCCAGTTATCAGTATGTCGGTGTTATCAAATTAATCTGCCTAATGATGGTCAGATGAGCATAACAATTCATAAACTCATTGTCTTTTTGTCCTAGTTAAGTGAGTTTAGGTTGGATGATTGGCATTCTCCTTATTTTTATGTAGTTGTGTTCCCTGAGCTGGATGGTGGTTTATTTGCGAAGCTTCCATTGACCTACTAGGCAACATGTTCAGTGCATACTTCAGTTTGTTGAAGTGAGCTTTTAGATCTCTCCACGAGCTTTCAACTCACCTCTCCGGGTGACCTGACCCCGAATGTGATTCGTTGTTTTTGTGTGTATTAATAACCTCTAGGCGGTTACTTGTATTGGCATTGGTACTGATTGTTTCCTTGACCTGAAGTTTGACGCTTTGTGTGTGAGATTTCTTTCTTATAGATTGCTCAATTTTGTCTATTTCAATGTGTGTCTATTATTAATTGATGATTCACTGGAATACCACCAGCCTTCTAAAACAATCCTCTGGCATTCTTGGTGTTTTTTTCCTCTGTCTAAAATTGAACGTTGGTTTGGTTGTCCCAGTCGAATCGATGTCCGTGGTTGTCTGTATACAGCGGTATGAGTGAGGGAGTGGATGTCATGTCCTCTGACGGCTAGTTAGTTTATGATCATAAATAAATAGACGAAGAGGACGTCGTCCACTTTCGCCAATGTAGTGTTTTTCACAGTTGTTACAATTTATTTTGTAGATGATGTTGGTTTTATCTTCCTTCGTTGTTGAGTCTTTTGGTTGACATAGAATTGAGTGAAGTGATTTTGTTGGTTTATGTGAGACGTCGATTCCTTAAGGTTTGAAGAGTCTTGCAGTGATTTCTGAGATATCCTTTATATATGGTAAGGCGATTTTTATTTATTTATTTATTTTATTATAGCTTGATTCCACACAGTATTTTGGTACAAGTATGAAATTTTCAGCATGTGATATCGGTAACCCAAATTTAGCAGGCCGACCATAGATATCAGGTGTGCGCCGGTGGGGTATCGAACCTCGGACCATGTGCATGGTCGGCGAGAGTCCTAACCGCTGTGCTTTCCTTGGGGGCTTTTGGTTTGATAGGTTGGCTTGGGGGTATATGTCTTTTGATGAAGTTCTGTGGATATCCATTCTTTTGGAAGACGTCCATGAGATTTTTTTCGCTTCAATTTTCCTGAAGGTAGGAATGCCACAATGAGTCCTGAATGGTTGGTTGGCTGGCTCTCTTGAATAGTGTTTGTATACAACTCCTTTTGCCTGTTATCGGGTTGTTGCTGTTGTATTTGAGTCAGTATTTGGTCTGTGTGAGTTGAATTTTTTATGAACTTGAGTTCCTAGTTTCCCTGTGGTTGTTCACTTGAAAAAATGTATTGAATCATTAGCCGTAGTGTTTTGTGTTCACCATTTTCTTACAGTCAAATTTCTAATATTAACACGTAAAAAAATTTCTCTTAAAACGAACAAAATCAAATTTTTTTCAAAAAGCGCTTACTTCAATGGTAATAAAAACATCAAAACTGCCTTTTCATGAACATGCCAACCGAACATAAAACATGACCAGGTGGTTAGAATGACAGATTTCAAAAAGGTATGCGTAATAACACCGGTTGGATAATAAAAGAAACGACTTCTTCTGACTGATACGCATAAACTGGGCTGTTAAAATTTTAAAAAGAAATAATACTTATGTAAGTATAATACTACTAAAAAGCGTATTTTTCAAGTAATATATAACGTTATTCTTTTTTACAAATAGAAACCTTAGTGTTTTTGCATAACCTTATTCATAACACTGTCACAATTATTGGTACTACTGTAACGACAGAAGACAAGGGTCAGGCAACAGACCCTTTAGTGAGAAAATCAACATATATTTATGGATTTTTATGTACATTATTATTCGTTATTATTAGCAGACAAACAGCGTCTTCTGATTGGTTGTTTTCCTGCTAAAGGTTATTCTGTCATCTTTTTGTAGCCATTTCTTTGAAGGTCAGAACATATGTCTGCGAATCGTATCTGCCCACGCTAAGTCTGCTGTGATTGGTTGGTGAGTTCCTCAAGGTTAAGCTTTTTTATTGTTTTTCTCTCATTACCCCGATTCGGAACATAAACATTGACGTAAATTGTTGTCTACAATTTTTGCTAGCAGACAGCTGTCACCACACTACTACCTTATTTTATTCCTTTGCGTTTTGAGTGGAACAAAGGGTTTGAAGTTCCAGCAGCGGACGCGTTCTTTGTGGAGTAGGGTTGCTGGCCCCACACCCAGCCTCCCCTCTTTTTCAATCTTACTACCGGCTAAGCGAGGTATACGAGTGTATCGTTCAGGATAGAACTCCGGATCAAGTGTCTGAGCTGGCAAGTATTCTACGCCGGAATCATTAACGCACCACAATCCTTACAGACTACTTTTATTTGATGTAACATACAATACAAGATATATTATTCAGTTTTTAATGTCTTTCTGAGCCTAAAGTGGTACGACTCTGAACAATATACTATTTTCTCGAAAGGTAGTCAGTAGACAGTCTGGTTGTAGTAAGTTAGAACTCAGTTAGCCAAAAAAGATTTTCCGTATACAAGTCTACACACCATACGTATTGTACGAAGGCTGATGATACTAGCCAGCTGGCCAGGCATAAAGTAGCTGGGGTGGGATTCGAACTCAGAGTGCATTTGCTGAAAGTCAAGTACTTTTAAGCCGATGAGCCAGCACATACATAAAATTGTTTGGAGGATTTGATCATGAGCTGACATCATTTAGAGAACCATTGGAAAACCAACGGGGAGTAATGGACAGCCAGCTGTTTCATCCTAGTCTGGGACTCTTCATCAGTACGCACCCACCGGTTGGGGTCCGAACCAAGGACTTTCTGGTTACAAGGCGAGCTGGTAGACGATTAAGCCACCGGGACCCGCGCTATCCAATGGCCAGCCCATGAATTCTAACTTCTGCTAGTTCATGACATAACAGGACCACTTCGCAGTTTCTTCGATGAGTCACTGTCTTCTCTTTCAACCTGCTGCACCCTACTGATCATGGCTTCCCACCAGCAGGTTAAAGTTGAGGACAGTTATTCATCGGAGAAGGCATTGCGAAGTGCTCGTGTTATGTCATGAACTAGCAGAAGTTAGAATTCATGGGCTGGCCATTGGATAGGGCGGGTCCCAATGGCTTAATTGTCTACCAGCTCGCTAGCCTTGTAACCAGAAGTTCTTGGGTTCGGACCCCAACCGGTGGGTGCGTACTGTGAAGAGTCCCAGACTAGGACGATACAGCTGGCTGTCCAGTACTCGCTGTTGGTTTTCCAATGTTTATCTAACTGATGTCAGCTCATAATGAAATCCTCCAACCAATCAAACAAAATCCCTACAAAAAACTAATACTTAAAAAATATAAAACTGTGTCACATTTATTTCTACTAGGAAATTATACTCTACCACAATGCACCCAACTTTACTCTAGCCATCTGAAAATATAAATTGAGTCAGCTAAAATAGTCTTAATTATCTGATATGAAAATCTTGAACCTGAAAAATCACAACTGAATTTCACTTCACAGTATAATTCAAATTGTGATGCAAACATTTGCTTCAAGCCATTCATACTTTAGCGAATATTGTTCATCAAGAAATGTAGAGGCTTATCATGAACATTGTTTCAGACATCTCAGTCGATGGAAATTCCCTTCGTTATCGATTCATTCGCCTAACTATACTAATCGTGGACTCTTACCTGAAATACACGATGAGAGCTGGACTTTTATGGTGAGACTGTATGGTATGATTTCTCCAAACCTCTTAGAGACTACGTGTAACAATTGAAAAGTATGTCAAGAAGGACCACTGTGCAGTATCTTTCCCTTTTTCCAGGCTGAGGATAACATACTGGCAATAAAAAGGATAGAAGGTGGCAAATGTCTGATGTGACTGTGACTGGGATTTCCCTGATAATCAATTCTTTAAAGTCGATGCCACCTCACGAATAAATGAAGCAAACAATGCACTCTACCACTTCATTCCACATCCTTAAACTAGGATTTAGAGTTAGCTTTTCTTTTTCGATTAAAGCTTGATTCCACACTGTATTTTTGGTACAAGTATGGAATTTTCAGCATGTGATATCGGTAGCCCAAATTTTGCAGGCCAACCAATTGATATAAGGTGTTTGCGTCGGCAGGGGATCGAACCCCGGACCATGTGCATATTTGGCGAGAGTCTTAATCGCTGCACCACCGACGCACTTGCTCTATAGTATCATCTTGCATCTGATATGAGTGAGTAACATGCCAAATATATTCAGATTTCTGCTCAGTAGCCTCACTGGAGTATATCCTCTGTATAGCCTAAATCAACTGGTCTTCTACCTGGCAATACATGCAAATTACAAACAAAATTCAAGTGTTGCTTTGTAGGGATTTGATTGATTAGTTACAGGATTTCATCATGAGCTGACATTGGTTAGAGAACCATTGGAAAACCTGGGAGTACTGGACAGATGTTTCGTCAGCCTAGTTTGGGACTCTGAAGCAGTACGCACCCACCGCCACGGTTAGAACTCAGGACCCTCTGGTTACAAGGCTAGCGAGCTCGTAGACAATTAAGCCACTGGGACCCGATCTAATAACCAGTCCATGAATTCTAACTTCTGCCAATGTCTTCGGTGAGTATTTGTCCTCCCCTTCAACCTGCCGTACCTTACTGGTCATGACTGATGAGATGCTCACTAGCGACTTTCCCTATTCAGGTAGGTAGTTACCTGGGATTCTAGTGAGAAGTCATGACCAGTAGGGTGGAGCAGGTCGGGTGTGAGGACAAGTACTCGCCGAAGACATTGGCTAGGAGCCGCGCCATGTTGTGAATTGGCAGAAGTTAGAATTCATGGACTGGTCACTGGATCGGGTCCCAGTGGCTTAATGGTCTACGAGCTCGCCTTTTAACCAGGAGGTCCTGGGTTCGAACCCCGGTGGGTGCGTACTGCAGAAGAGTCGCAAAATAGGACGTAGCAGCTGTCCAGTACTCCCAGGTTTTCCAATGGTTCTCTAACCAATGTCAGCTCATGATGAAATCCTGTAACAAACAAAATTCCACCAGCAAAGTTTTGTCAGTGTCAGTACTCCAGTGGTATAATGCTCACCAATTACTCCACAAACAGTCAGGGTTCGATCTATGACCGAAGAACTCCTAAACCCGCTTAGCAGGGGCAGTAATCCTGGTAAAGAGGGAAGGAAGGTTGGCGTAAGGTCAGAAACCCCATCCAGTAAAATAAAACAGTGCCGCTACTGAAACTTCAGAGCTAAAGCTTGAAGTCCCATGTTCCGTTCAGAATGCACAGGAAAACTTCAACAATGATCGAATATATATATACACACTGACATGGTGGTATTAGGTGGTTGGAGACAATCGGCAGGAAGCCAAGTTGGAACTAGGTTTCGTGCTAGTCGGCACTCACCTGTCAGCAAGGCGGCGTATCTGCAACCTTGAAGGAATTCATGTCACACCTTCTGAGATTCCAACACGCGCCACCCAGTGGGGCTGCAGTCACAGACGTTGCCACAGAGCTATTTGGGCTAGTGACTGACCGCCAGTAGGACTGTATTGGATATTTTGATTGGACAGTAAGTAGTGTAATGTGTCTAGTCCTTTCTTTGGTGTCCGATCGAAAACAAAACACTGACATGTTAATAAAATACTATTTAGTTTTATTATGATTAACCAAACAAAATTGGTATAATACTTCAGGGTTGAAACTATAGGATAGATTATGAATTAACATGAAACGAAACTCCATATACGCATAAACTCTAACCAGTAAACGTCTATGGTTAGCGCAGTTCTTTTATAAATCTAATCATCATTTCTGTAGGACATATTGATTTATTTCTTATTTAATTTTTTTATACTCAGATATCCTGATACCCTTGGTTACTCTTAACTGCATTACACGACACTTGAGATTATATAACATATATAGTGTGTGGACGATCTAACTGTTTCGATGTCTGTTAACTCACAGCTAGACTGTACCAAGATGAACAGCTTTCTGTCAGGAGTCAGCAAATGGTCTTCGTCTAGTGGTCTTCAACTAAATCCTTTCAAGTGTCAGATTGTTAATTTCAGTTTCCGATGTACAAGAAAGTTAAATAAAGCTGTTAATTCCTATGAGTTGCGAAATTGATCATGGTGATAAAGAAATCAAGTCGGACGTTAAGTATCTTGGATTACTTTTTTTTTGACCTATCCTGGTCTTCCAATGTCTTAGCGATTTCTGAAAGAATATTTCGTCTGACGTTTTACATTCAGAAGTAAAGGCACTCAGGCATAACTCAACCCCTCCTCCGCTTACAGTATGTTAACTCGTGCATCTTACCTATGCTTCTTTACTGTTCACCCTTATTCTTTCCTGGATTGTTTAAAAAAGACCATGTCATACTTTGTAGGACTCTGAAGACTGTCGGTCAGTAGGGCCATATCGTTGAAATCATCACTGTCAGACTATGAGCATCAACTTTACCCGCAGCTAAAACCTTGTGTCTCGTCACGTTAAACAAGAAGTCACTCAAAAAGACTTTATGCACGTACGTCTAAGTATAAAAATTCCACGACACCATATTTGGCACGTACTTTATGTGATGAAAATAGTGTCAGGGACGAACTAACTAACCTCCTCACCATTTGTAAATAAGCCATTTTCTCCATCCTTATTCCATCAAGCTTTATTGTTATTGTTCTTCTTATACTTAAAGGTCTCGCAATTATTTGTTTTTGTTTATTTTCTCATCAGTGTAAACATCATGTAAGCTCTGTTATAACTGTTAATTTTGTATTTCCCTTCACCATACTATATCAGCAGAACATTAAAGTCAATACTTTCTAACATGCTAAAATTTCCAAACTGAATCGACAATACTGTTTGAAACAAACCCGCTGTTATTATTATTATATTTATTATTCTCATTTTGTACTTCAAATATTTTTGACTTTATACTGTAAATGTGGACAAATTCCTCTGGTTAACTTTGTTTTAATTCTATTTATATTATGAGTAAATCAGATACAATATTGTGACAAATGCTGAGAATTCCATTCTGTATTACAAGTACTGTTTTTGGAATGAAGTAGATTATATATATATATATATATATATATATATTAATGAAAAAACATACCATCATAAATAACAAGCTTAATAAAGCTGTATGCGAGGGTAAAATATTCGGCAGTATCACATGTTTCACATTTTCTACAAGACCACCAGTCATACTTGCTACAGAGGTGACTTTTTGAGGCCATTTATGAAGGAAATGATCATCTAAAAGATAGAAACCACAAAAACAAAGAAAAACAATTTTTAAGTACATTTCATTAAATTTATGCAGATATGATGATATTTTAAAGAAAGATTGTACAGTGTGTAGCACTTAAACGTAAGTAGACGATTTTATCAATAAAAGATACTGGAAAAAATTGTGTTTACGACCATTGCTGACTCAGATCAAATTTAGTAAACATTTACTGTTTAACATCATCAATTCGGTTTTCGTTAAGCACAGGGATTTACATAACTTAAGTTTGGAAAGAAAGCTACGCATAAAATGCTCCCTGAAATGCCCAAGTACAATTTCCAGTATCATATAATCTTCAAAAGAATGGTTACTGAACAAAGAATCCCCTTTTCGATAACTTCATCATCAGCCTCTACAGTTATATATACATTATAGTGAATGAATGAGTTAGTGTTATGAACAACATTAATGTTGTTTAAATAACATTGAATCAATAATAATAATAATATCAATAGATTACAGTTCAACAGCATCAACATAAAATAAGCTGAATGTCAGAAAAAATTAGGAAAGATCATATTACAAATTCATGAATTTACTGCCAAGGCAGTAGTAGTGGCTGGACTTGCTTCTTTTGCACACAAAGCACTGGCTGTTTCACGCGAATTGCGATAGCCTCTGCTGTTTGGAGCATGCGGCGCCTGGATGTTTTCGGCAATTTATTTGGTCCGCACCCGGTAGATGATAGAGAAGCATTCTTCGATGCTGGATTTATAGCCGGCCAGTTTAGGCCAGATGGTAGGTAAAATTAGAAGTGGCTAGTCTAGGTACTTCATCTTTCAATCGAGGAATGACCATCGGTCGTGTATAGAATAAGACGTGTATCACGTGACAGGGATTGCATATCGCAATGACCCAACAAGACACAGTTGCTGGAACTACCACGCGAGGAAGGTTGTTAGGATAACGATTAGACTAAAAGCAGTTATCGGCATAGTATAAGAGCATTTTTTACACTATGCTGGGGATCTGTGGGCGAAGTCGTACTGCTGGGGAACAGGGATATAACAGCCGAAGTAAGGTGTTTCCCTCAGATGGCCAGCATGCCATCCAGCTATGCTGTCTCTCCACTCTGGAGAGAGAGGGTTAGAAAAAGTTGACCCCAAAAATTGTACATCCCGACTTACCCCACATACGGTGGTCCGTTACCGGCGGTAAATTTACCAATACTGAACCAATCCAGGAGACCAGTTCATACAGACCATGCGTGACCGCTCTCAAGCAGTTGTCCCCTGGGCTCTGCGATCACGCAACTCCCACGGTGTGGGCAGCCGGGAAGTAACAACCGCCCACACACTTCCGAAAGCCCACGAAACCTACCTGAGCATCTCCTCTTTTCAGGTAGTCCAACTCTTCAAGTAATCTGCTCTCGAGGCAAAGTTTACTCAAACAGCGTCCTAACCAATCCTTACTTGTAATTTAATGGACAAAAACTGGTATAGTTTAAATACTGTCCAACCCAGGTATGAACGAGGCATATTCAAGCATCATTTTTGTTGTTAAGTCGACTACCAAAACTTCTAGAATATCCTTCGAACTTACGATAGATAACTACTCTTTTTTCGTGTAATTTGTGACTAATTATGCCATCACACAATTCACCCACTATTTTTTTCTTAGAGTACAATCCACTTTTGTCAACAGAATAAAAGAATGTTTTTATTTCGCTCATACTATGTATGTTTTAGGCTGTCTGCAATTGAAGAAAAGCCTTTTAAACAACACGCGTACATTTTATGCTCCAAATTTTGTTTTTCTTGCATTAACGAACCCTGATTATTTCAAACTCAACAGAATATTTTGGAAATAAATTCGAAAGCGATTTTAAGTTAAAGATATCAATGTAATTCAAAAGAAAGCATAAAATGTGAAGAAACTAGACTCTCGAATAGAAATAATAATAATGATCGTTTTTAGTGATACTATAAAGTGAACTTACCAAGAACATCTAACACTTTATCCATAAAATTATACAAGGACCAAAAATTAGGTGCCCAATAAGCATGGCATAGACCCCGTGTAAACGGGAAAAGACGACTTAATACTTGTTTCATTTGATCCTATAACATGATTACTATTAAAGCGTTTAGATTTGCGAACCGTATAAATGAAGTAGCCGAATGATGAAGCCATCACAATTAAAACAATGCTGCCAACTTTGATAAAACGATTGATCATGCTTGAAAATTCACGTCTCCCTTAAGTTAAACAGTTGCTGTTATTATTATATAAGATAAACAAACCTAAACAATAGTTCATTAAAATATGAACAAAATATGCTGGAGCTGTATACATGAAAATATGTTTAAAATTTAATAATATAGTGAACAGAAGTGATGCGACCAGGTAATTTTCCTAGGAAAAATAGATTAATATGTAAATATATATGTATATCTGTTACTTCAATCATGTATGCCATAGATAGCAATAATATACCAAACATGAACCCATTATATTGGAAATGTATATCTGCAGAATATTATATAGGAAAATAGCACTGGAAGATACTCAACAAAAATAAGCATATAAGGAATACGTCGAGATTAATGAGGCCTTGTCAAATTAACATATCATTAGCTTTGAGGAAGATAGTGGCGAAGCAGAAACATGATGAAATTTTATCCAAAATAAAGTCAAACCATATCAAAGAAGTGCTCTGAACTTTAACTAGCAATTAAAATGCCGGAGAGGTATCATAAAAGACTAAAGTCTCACACGAGTTATTTTCAATAGAACAGTTCAACTTTTTCTTTTAATTGAATGAACATAAGCTACATATGCAAAGTAAGTTTCGAAACACAATAAACAATTGGTGAGTGCTTTGTACCATATAAGTGCAGAGTACTGTCAATGGTTGGAACGAACTTATACCTGCACTCACCCTGAATCATCTGTAGTCAAGATGTGTGCCTATCTATGTAGCTGTTTCGATGCTGACAGTTGAGGCAGTAAATTCCTAGACATATATAGAAAGTAACAACAACACGCACCAAACTGGGCTATTTTTAATTCAGTTATATGTTATTCAACTACTTTATCTTCCTCCTTATATTGATTTTTCTTGTGTGGAGCAACACTTAGGCCACAAATAGCGCCAAGTTTGTTTTAAATGTAAATGAGCTTTGCCGCAGATCACGGCATCCAAACCCATCTTGTAAAAATCATTTTAAGTAGAGATAATCCTCTTTAAATAATGCGTACCTCCAATATCAAATATTTTCTATTCTTAGTGATGTACTTAAGCAGATAAGCCACATATTTAACGTCCAGAACTCATATTCTATGCTAATTACTTTGATCTGAGTAGTCACATAATGTCATAAGCCCAGTGAATCGAGAGTCAACACCGTAGTCAATAAATGTGGGCAGTGTGTCAAACATGAGTAGATGAATGTCGGTAACTGATTGCAAGTATTATCTCCAGAAAAAATTCATCGGCATCGACAAAAAGGATACGGTCAACAATAAACAAGCCGAAATTGAAGGCGAAAAGCAGCCATAGAGGAAAGTGACTTTGCTTCAGGAACAAGCAACCTGATGCCTTTAGCGAACGATACATTCTATAAAGTAAATTCTCAGTTTAAAAAAATACCTGAAGACGGCAGCAAACAGAAGAAGTTCTGTGATAAGAACACTCATTCGTTGGAAAATAATAACTGTGTTCGATACATAAGGATGTGCAGTAACGCGACAGATATCTGGATCGATTCGAATTGCTAGGAGTGATAATAACCACTCAAAAAATGCAAAGAATGGCGGGTAGTCCAGCGTCCATTTAGATGTCTCCTACAGAAAGCCATATTCATTAGCTTACAAAACATACGTCATAGTACCACTTCGAAATTGGAAGTGAACAGGTGATTGCAATCCAGTTTCGATGTACTTCGAAGTCAGTTGAATGGCTACATATTATGCATGAAATGTATTCTTACTAGGAAAAGAAAAAAAGGGATTTAAATGCAGCAGCTGCAATGACAACAAGCAATGCAACGACAGATGGCCACATGTCGAATGACCTTGACAAGTCAAAAGCTGGCCTGTTTTGTGTAAACAGTCTACAGACTCAAACAAAATCCCTGTTGTCGTGGGGGATTCTTGTCTCAGAAAGCAAATGATGATTCACCTCCTGACTTAAGGGCTTTCGGATGATATTTTCAGTGAGTGTAGTGGGTGACGTAAAAAGTGACGGATCTCCAATCAAACTTATGTCCAATATCCAATATCGTTTTTACGAGCTAGTATAAACCAATTTGATTTCTTTGTGCTCACCTCTTGATTGTGAGGTAGAGGTTCCTGATCTTTGGTAAACGTCTGTGTAGCTCGTCCCGCCACTCGACTGTCGTAGCTTTGGTTGACTTCAACAGAAGTAGTGCTGGGGTTAATTATATGGGGTTTGTAGTATGAAGTGTGTTAAGACTGTTACTACTGTGAATGGAGTTGATCCTTTCACCAGTTAGTCTTTCGGTATCGTCGTCAATGGAAAAGAGATAATAATAACAATAGATATAATTAGTAAAGGTATTCAGACTAACAGACAGAGAAAGAATAAGAAAACGTAACAACAGTCAGTCAACCGGTATACATATATATATATATACCAGTAATAATGATAATAATAATATGTGTAGTTAAAGCTGTCAGGAGAGTAAGACTGAAGAGAATGTAAAGAAGTAAAACGACCAGTTTAATTGTCTACCTTTGAATGGTATATGCGATTTTAAGGGGATAGGCCATTTGGATGCAGTCCTTGTGTCGCTGCATGGTTGTCCAGCCTTCGCTTAAAGGCGTCCACAGATGGTGCCATAGCTACATCTGCCGGTAAGGAATTCCAGGGACGGCAAACCCGCAGGGAAAAGAAGTGGGAGCGCACCCGGGTCGTTGCCCTCTGATGAGCTATCCTTCTAGGATTTCCACGAGGGAGCCTATACCTACTCAATGGCAGAACACCTTTGTTTGGGTGATTCTGATCATTTGTTATTTTGTAGGCAGTAATTAAATCCCCCATCAGGCGACGGTAACTGAGTGTGAATAGGCCTAATTTCTTCAGCCTTTCGTCATATGGTTTATTTCGGAGACCAACCACTCCTTTTGTTGCCCGTCGTTGGACTCTTTCCAAGAGGTTGGCGTCTCTTTTAAGCAGTGGGGGTGCAATGATATTATGCACTTCAAGATGCGGTCTGACGTATGTTTTATACAACCTTAGAAAGAGCTCAGGAGTGAGTGCACCTAATTGTCTATGTGTAAAGTGTATGACCGCATATGCCCTCGCTACATCCCCCGTGTAATTTACGCTTGTGTCCATTTTCTCCGCTAGAACTAGACCTAAGTCACGTTCCGACGTTGAGCAGTACGCTAATCTTCTCTTTTTGGAGACATTTCACTACTCAAATGCGCTTACTTGCCACTGATGATGACGAAATGAACCTACAGCTAAAAATTACGGGTGGTACTCAATTATGTGTCATAGATTCACAAAGTTATGTTCTGTACTGGTTAATAACGGTGGCACAGTGGTTAGGACTCTCGCCGACCATGCACGTGGTCCGGGGTTCCATCTCCTGCAGACGCACACCCGATATCAATGGTCGGCCCGCAAAATTTGGGCTACCGATATCACATGCTGAAAATCCCTTACTTCTACTAAAAAAGTGCTGTGTGGAATCAAGCTGCAATCGAAAAAATAATAAATAAATAAATAAAAAATAATTGCATTGTTATGTTGGTTTAGTAACAAGTTATGTTTCTTGGTGCATTTTAAATGAAACTTTTATTTAAAAATTTTATGACGCACATAATATCGGCGGCATAATATACTTGAACTTCGTTACATTTCCTGTAATTATTTCAAGATATGTTGCTTGATAGTAATACCTGAGAAATGTGGTGGATAAATAATGTAGGAAGTTCAAAATTTAGACGTAAATTCTTGCATTTTCATGGACTCATAGTGGTATATTCAAAATATTTATCTGGACGCCATTGTCTTTTTAGAGGCTGATGGTATTGACGTTCATGGATAGTACAAAGTACACTAACGCAAGATCTAATACCAACAACTTCAATAGTATTCCTTCCGCATAGACCGAAGGCAAAGTAAAACACAAGATTTGGTCGTCCAAATTGCGAGATATATTTCGAGACCAAATGAGAGTGCGAGATGACTGCTTGGCTAGCTAGTGATCGTGCACGAGCGAACGAACGTGACACGATGGAGTACCAAATGGCGTGGATGCTTGACCGGAAACCTTCAGCTAAACAAGTCGACTCAAACAGTGGGGGTCAGATTTCGATGTTCAGTGATGAGTGCTGTGGCCAATAATTTTGGGGATCTATTTACCTCTACAGCTCACTCCCCCCTAGTAGGGTTGTGAGGACACTAGGAAAAAACCAGCCGGAAGTAAAAAACCCAATGGTTTTCTCATCGGCAAAAAAACTTCCGAGCGGCTTGATGTAGTGCCTACTGGTCGTCTACCAACGCTAGTAGGGTGTCTGTACATCGCTTCCTTGATGTTTGTCCGTTGGATCTCGTGCTTCGTTTGCTTCTTGTCAAGTGCCCACCACATCTGGAAAATAAAACAAGAATGACAAGAACCTTGTTTAGGAAGATACAATAAAATTAACGTCTGAATGATGATATGCGTCTACCGTACAGAAAATAATGCGGAAAACAGAACATCGAAAAAAGTATGTATCTAATTTTTTACTGGATGTTACATGTGCGGTTACATAAAAGTTTTTGCTTGTGTTGTGGAATGCAGTATGGAAGAACTGGTGTGTGTGAAAGAAAAAAGTAATTAAATACCGCAAACGAATAAGAAATGGGTGAATCGCATCGCTTAGTTATGTGATATAGTTGTGAAGATGTTCCGGGAATCTCACGTTTGGTCGAAAACGCGTTTTCTTTGGGGGCTTGACAGAAGGTTCGATGGCTTTCGCCGTGCTACGGAGTTCTTCGGGGACTAGCGGATATTCGGTTACCTGTGTACTATTAGGAATGATCAGCTCTAGGCTAATAGGATTGCCTCCCAAGTAAGCCGGTTTCAGACGGTCGATACTGACAGTGTCTTCGCGGCCTTTCTTGTCTAATACGGAGAATTTATCCGTACGTTTAATTACTTTATATGGCCCGTTATACGGGGGTTCTAGAGGGCGACGCACAGAGTCGCGACGAACAAATACGTGTGAAGAAGTTTTTAAACAGGGGTGAACGAAGACACCAATGGACTGTGGTCGAATGGGAGCAGGTTTAACTGAACGCATTGCGTTTGTAAGCCTACTGACGTATGAGGAGTGATCTACCGCTGGTGGGAGGCTTGAGAGAGAAACAAACTCACCTGGCAGTCGTAGTGTCGTACCATATACTAGCTCAGCGGTAGTACAATCAGCATCGGTTTTTAAGGCATTTCGTATCCCTAGGAGAACTAACGGAAGGGATTCAGTCCAATGAGTGTTATCTGCAGATGATAAACCAGCTTTCAACTGTCTGTGTAGACGTTGTACCATACCATTAGCTTGAGGATGGTAGGCTGTTGTTTGAAAACTCATGCGACCTATGATTTTAGTCAACGCGAAAAATAAGCTGCTTTCGAATTGCTGCCCGTAATCAGTTGTTATGGAGGATGGGCATTCAAAGTTTGCGGTCCATCTTTCTAGAAAGATGCATGCGACGGTTTCAGCAGATACATCCTTGAGGGGTACTGCTCCAGGCCATCGTGTGATACGATCAATGAAGGTTAACATATAGGTGTATCCTTGAGATTCTTGAAGGGGGCCAACTAAATCTATATGGATGTGTTCGAAACGGGCGTCGGGAATAAGTAAGGTACCAAGAGAACCTTTGGTGTATCTCACTACCTTGCACTTTTGACAAGCTAAGCATGTGTGCGCCCATTCCTTTACTTCCTTATTAATACCAGGCCAACAAAACGGACTATTTACGAGCTTGACGGTAGTTCAAATGCCTGGGTGGGATAAGCCATGTAATGTATTAAAGACGTAACGGCGATAACTTTTAGGCCCGAGGAGTACTAGTGGAAATGTCTCAGAGAATAGTATCTTTCCCATACCTAACGGTTTCTCGGCTAATTGTTGAGTTGTTTTCGACAACTCATGCTGAAGCTCGTTATCTTCTTTTTGAAGACGAGCCAGTTTTACAAGGTCTATACTGTCGATTTGGGTGAGGGAACAAACGCGCGACAAGGCAGCTGCCACAGTGTTGTTCACTTCGGATACATGGCGAATATCCGATGTAAACTGTGAAACGTAGTACGGTTGTCGTGATTCCCTGGGTGAATACTTATCTGAAGTGGAGTTTAGAGAGTACGTCAGAGGTTTGTGGTCGGTGAAAAATATGAATTCACGACCCTCCACTGAATGCCGAAAATGGCGTATAGCACAGTACATAGCCAGAAGTTCTCTTCCGAATATGCTGTACTTCGTTTCAGATAATTGAAGGCGCCTCGAGAAAAAGGCGAGTGGTTGCCACTCTCAGTTAACTAACTGTTGCAGAACTGAGCCGATTGCAGTGTCTGATGCATCAACCGAGATACTAAACAGTGCCGTTGGATCATGATATATAAGAAGTTTGACATCTACGATAGCTTTCTTAACCTGAGTGAAAGCATTTCGAGAAGGCGCGTCAAGTTCGATAGACTTGTTATTCTCCCGAAGGAGGTCTGTCAACGGCTGAATCAGAGAAGCACAGTTGGGAATAAACCGTTGGTAATAACTTACCCAAGCCGTCGAAAGTGCAAAGACTTTTCACAGTGAAAAGGGTCAATCCTGGTAAGTCTAGTGGCCCTCATGAACCCTACCCACGTATGTTAACAGCATTGGCCGAAAACATAGCCGAACCATTATCGGTAATCTTCAACATGTCTCTGGACCAGTCTAAATGTCCAAGAGACTGGAAAGATGCCATCATTAGTCCGGTCTTCAAAACCGGATCTAGAAACTTAGTTCAGAACTATCGTCCTGTTAGTTTGACCAGTATTGTTGTTAAACTACTAGAAAGAATAATTCGTGATGCTATCA